TGGACCCAAAACTACATTAAACAAACACACACACACACACACACCGACCTCACAAATGCAAAGAACATGACCATAGACACACACAGCTGCAGTGAGGATGTGTTTTCCTCTATCCCCGCTCGCTCAGACCCAAACGCAGAGTAATATTTCCTACCTGTCGATCACTGCTGCTGCTGGGCCCTGGCCTGGTCCCACGGTGCTTAGTCCGGTATGTGCTCCGCGAGGCAGGAGTCTTGGCTGACCTTCTCCTTCTGCCAATTACCTGGTGTGAGCTGCGAGCAGAGAAGAAGAAGAGAGAGGAGTAAATATCCAAGAGGGAGTCCCCAAAACCCAGACTCCATCATGGATGATTCTGCACGGAGCCAGAGTGAGACCAGTGAGAGACCAGAGAGAGACCAGAGAGAGACCAGAGAGAGACCAGTGAGAGACCAGAGAGAGACCAGAGAGAGACCAGAGAGAGACCAGAGAGAGACCAGAGAGAGACCAGAGAGAGACCAGAGAGAGACCAGAGAGAGACCAGAGAGAGACCAGAGAGAGACCAGAGAGAGAGACCAGAGTGAGACCAGAGAGAGACCAGAGAGAGACCAGAGAGAGACCAGAGAGAGAGACCAGAGAAAGAGACCAGAGTGAGACCAGAGAGAGACCAGAGAGAGACCAGAGAGAGAGACCAGAGACCAGAGAGGGACCAGAGAGAGAGAGACCGAAGAAAGAGACCAGAGTGAGAGGCCAGAGAGGGAGGGACCAGCGAGAAAGACAAGTGAGAAAGATAGGAGAAACAGACCAAAAACCGAGACCAGAGAGAAAGATAGAAGAAAGAGACCAGAGAGAGACCAGAGAGAGACCAGAGAGAGACCAGAGAGAGACTATAGGGAGACCAGAGAAAGAGACAAGAGAGGTTGGAGAGAGAGAGACCAGAGAGAGAGAGATTAGAGAGTGAGAGTGTGATGGGTTCTTTTCCACATACTCATGGCTGGGTCGGAAAGGGCGTTTTCAAATGTTTTTAATAAAAATCTCTCAGTACTGTACAAAAACAGAGTATTTACAGAGCACAGTGAAAAGTCTACAAAATATACATGACTTCGACACTAAGTCTCTTTTTCATCACTTTCACTCTCGCTCCTGCAATCCACGTTACCTTCTCTGTAACTGAGCCACAGCTGCCATGGGGCAGACAAGCACACCTTAAAGAGCGACTAAACACCAAATCAACTTTTTTTAACTCATAAACTGCATAAGTATGTTTATTGTAGTGCTGTCTACATATCCTGGTCATTCTTTTGACATTTTTGTTCAAATTAGATAAAATATCACTTTTGAGCCAAAAAACGCTGTGTGGTGCCCTCTCAACCTTTTTGGTGGTACTACATTTTAATTTGGTCCTGGCCTCTCCATTGACTCTGAAGTTCTCTGTGACATCAGTTGTTTTGTGTGACGTCAGTCTGTCAGAGCCAGTGATATGAACCCATTCATCTCTCACACACGCCCCAGCCGCAGTTTGGAGTATTCTGGCGCCATCTAGTGGATTAAAATTAAATTACATGAGTCATTCTGAGATTATTGAGTGTGATTAGGTTCAGGTGTGTAGCTTTACAATTATCTTAGTGTGTAAACAAGGGTGGAATGAGACTTTCTGGTCTGTAAACTATTGCTTTAAGCAGCAATGACAACTGTCTGCTTTTTTCTTTGTGTGACAAGTGAGCTGTCAATCACAGCCCAGACCACGCCCAACTCTAAGCCCCCCTTCTTGTCCCTTGGTCCTCCAGGAAACGCCCTTTTTAGAGAAAAATTTCAAATCTTCATGTGGGCGGAGTAAGGCTGGGCACAGGTGTTTAGTCGCTCTTTAAGTATCCTGCTGGCCCCGCCCACTTTACAAATCAATCACCCTAATAACACACCATCTCTACAACACATGTTTTCCATTAGGTCCAGGATTGTATATCACAGTTACACATTTCCAATGAAATACATTATGAGCTACACCTTACGAAGATTGTTTATGCAAATGAGCTGTGGTCACATGACCCACAGACAGGTGCATTTAAGCCACTGGCTCCTTATGACCAGGTTTGCCAAACCGCACCATGGAGACGCCACGACCACGGCAGCACACAGGTGAGACACATGTAACAGATGTAACACATGTAACACATGTAACACATGTAACACATGTAACAGATGTAACAGATGTAACAGATGTAACAGATGTAACACATGTAACACATGTAACACATGTAACACATGTAACACATGTAACACATGTAACAGATGTAACAGATGTAACAGATGTAACACATGTAACACATGTAACACATGTAACACATGTAACACATGTAACAGATGTAACAGATGTAACAGATGTAACAGATGTAACAGATGTAACAGATGTAACAGATGTAGCAGATGTAACAGATGTAACAGATGTAACAGATGTAACAGATGTAACAGATGTAACAGATGTAACAGATGTAACAGATGTAACAGATGTAACAGATGTAACAGATGTAACAGATGTAACAGATGTAACACATGTAACACATGTAACACATGTAACACATGTAACACATGTAACAGATGTAACACATGTAACACATGTAACACATGTAACACATGTAACACATGTAACAGATGTAACACATGTAACACATGTAACAGATGTAACAGATGTAACAGATGTAACACATGTAACAGATGTAACACATGTAACACATGTAACACATGTAACACATGTAACACATGTAACACATGTAACACATGTAACACATGTAACAGATGTAACGCTTCCAAGTGTGACCTGAAGACGCGTTCACGCTACACGTCACAAACACTGTCCTTAAACCAGCACTAGTCAGAGAATGGGTTTGGGCGCAGCCACCATGGCACCGGGCGCACGCATCCTCACATGCGTGCTCAGGGACGGGCTCACCCTGTCACAGAGAGCAGCGAGAGAGAGACCAGAGAGAGAGAGAGAGATCAGAGCAGCGAGAGAGAGAGACCAGAGCAGCGAGAGAGAGACCAGAGAGAGAGAGAGAGAGACCAGAGCAGCGAGAGAGATAGACCAGAGCAGCGAGAGAGAGAGACCAGAGCAGCGAGAGAGAGAGACCAGAGAGAGAGAGAGAGATCAGAGCAGCGAGAGAGAGAGACCAGAGCAGCCAGAGAGAGAGAGAGAGACCAGAGCAGCGAGAGAGAGAGACCAGAGCAGCGAGAGAGAGACCAGAGCAGCGATAGAGAGACCAGAGCAGCGAGAGAGAGACCAGAGCAGCGAGAGAGACCATAGAGAGAGAGAGACCAGAGCAGCGAGAGAGAGAGACCAGAGAGAGAGAGAGACCAGAGCAGCGAGAGAGACCAGAGAGAGTGAGAGAGACCAGAGAGAGTGAGAGAGACCAGAGAGAGAGAGAGAGACCAGAGCAGCGAGAGAGAGAGACCAGCGAGAGAGAGAGACCAGAGCAGCGAGAGAGAGACCAGAGAGAGAGAGAGAGACCAGAGCAGCGAGAGAGAGACCAGAGCAGCGAGAGAGAGACCAGAGAGAGAGACCAGAGAGAGGGACCAGAGCAGCGAGAGAGAGACCAGAGCAGCGAGAGAGAGAGACCAGCGAGAGAGAGACCAGAGCAGCGAGAGACCAGAGAGAGAGAGAGAGAGACCAGAGCAGCGAGAGAGAGACCAGAGCAGCGAGAGAGAGACCAGAGAGAGGGACCAGAGCAGCGAGAGAGAGACCAGAGCAGCGAGAGAGAGACCAGAGCAGCGAGAGAGAGACCTCAGGACGAGAGAACACTCCATGTTCCCAAACCGCCTCTGTCCTGTTCCTACATCGTCCTCATATCAGTCCAGTAGAATCTTATCTCTGTAGTTTCTCGGGCTCCACAGCGTCTCTCGGACTCTGACACCATATCTCGCGGACCATGTGACGTCCGGAGTGTCATTGGTCACAAGGTGAGGCGGCCGCTGTATTGATGGCGTGCTCTTATCGCCGCCGTCTGCAGTCACCTTGGCCCCGTGTGTTTTTTAATCAGGGCCGAGCCAGCGTATCTATCTAACCCTGATACAGAGACCATCAGAGCGCTGTCGGTACCATGTGCAGAGCATTTCAATGTGTTGTCAGACTCATCAACAAATGGAGGCGCCGCAGATGGACACTGATGGTCCCGGATCTGGTCTTTAAGGATTTAAGTGACTAGGGTTTGAAGGAAGAGTCCAAATTATAAAGTTTGGTGCAGATGTAATGGACACAGAGTAAAGTGATGAGGATGAGGAAGGAGAGAGTGTGTGTGAGAGAGAGAAAGAGACCCTAGAGAGAGAGATACCAGAGAGAGACAGAGAGAGACCAGAGAGAGAGGTCAGAGAGAGAGAAAAAGACCAGAGAGAGAGAGACCCTAGAGGGATCAGAGAGGGACCAGAGAGAGAGAGAGAGACCAGAGAGACCTGAGTGAGAGGTCAGAGAGAGAGACCAGAAAGAGAGACCCTAGAGAGAGATCAGAGAGAGACCAGAGAGAGAGAGACCAGAGAGAAAAAGACCAGAGAGAGAGACCCTAGAGAGATCAGAGAGAGACCAGAGAGAGAGAGAGAGACCAGAGAAAGAGACCAGAGAGAGAGACAAGACATAGAGAGAGAGACCAGAGAAAGAGACCAGAGAGAGAGACAAGACATAGAGAGAGAGACCAGAGAGAAAAAGACCAGAGAGAGAGAGACCAGAGAGAAAAAGACCAGAGAGAGAGAGACTAGAGAGAGAGAGCAGCAAGAGATAAAGACCAGAGAGAGAGAGAGAGAGACCAGAGAAAGAGATCAGAAAGAGAGAGATTAGAGAGAGAGAGAGACCAGACAGAGAGAGAGAGACCAGCGAGAGATCAGAGAAAGAGATAGATCTGAGAGAGAAAGAGAACAGAGAAAGAGACCAGAGAGAGACCCGACAAAAATCAGAGTGAGATCAGAGAGAGAGACCGGAGAGAGACCAGAGTGAGACCAGGAAGCCCCCTCAGAGCAGTACAGAGGGAGAGGTCTCGCTGGGATCAGGGTCTGCTCAGTTCCTGTTGTGTGGGATTTGACTGAAGGTGAAAGTATCGACTGGAGCTGCGGAGCTTAAGCCACTCCAGCAGAGATCGATGCCCAGGCCACTCCGGCAGAAGAGGACTCTGCACACTCACAACCACAGGATCAGCAGGAGCAGGAGGAGCAGGAGGAGGACCAGGAGCAGCAGGAGATTTATGGAACAACCCAAATATTTATGTTCATTTGATTTGAATACCAGAAATGTAAGGTAAGTGACAAAACTGTTTTCCTGTCTCTTTTTTAAATCTTCTTTGACACATCTCTGGTCTCGCTTTCTCTGGTATTACTGGACTCTCTCTGGTCTCTCTCTGGTCTCTCTCTGGTCTCTCTCTGGTCTCTCTCTGGTCTCTCTCTGGTCTCTGGTCTCTCTCTGGCCCAGACTGATGGATGTGAAAGTCTCCTCTCCAATGCCAGTTCACGGATCATTGAAGAAACTGTTGAAGGCATCACCTCCAACAGCAGAGGCTCAAGAACTAAGGATATGACAACTTTAAATCTCCCTTTGAATAACAGGAGATAAAAAGAGTAAGAACTGAAGAGGGTCCATAGAGAAATACAGAGAGAGACCAGAGAATGACCAGTGAGAGAGACCGAAGAAAGAGACTACAAAGAAACCAGAGAGACCAGAGAGAGAGACCAGAGAGAGAACAGAGAGAGACCAGGGAGAAACCAGAGAAAGACCGAAGAAAGAGACTACAAAGAAACCGGAGAGAGACCAGAGAGAGAGGGTCAATGTTTAAACTCTGTGTTCAAATGTTGTACGTTTTTATTCCTCTCTCTCTCTCTCTCTCTCTGCCTCTCTCTCTCTGTCTCTCTCTCTTTCTCTCTATGTTTCTCTCTCTCTCCCTCTCTCTCCTTCCCTCTTCCTCTCTCTCCTTCTCTTCCTCTCTCTCCTTCTCTTCCTCCCTCTCTCTCTCTGGCCCCCGTCCCGGTCCTGCACCCTCCATAACAAAGATGGGAGGAGTGTGGGGTGATTTATGGTGCCCTTGAACCGGCCGCGGTGGCACCTTATGGGAGAGCCTTTAGCGTTGTGCGTCGGCAGAAGACGGATGAAGAGCCCGGTCTCTCTGAGCGCCGCGGAAACGGAACATCATTCTGGACCAGAGAAGGTTTATGTGTTTGACAGATGTGAGCGTTTCACCTGTTGTCAGGCGTCTGTGAGCTACGGTGAAGGTGACGTACGGACAATATGTGTTTGGTTAAAGAGAGAGAGATTTGTACTGAGACAAAAGGAGATTATGTCGGAAAATAAGCACTCACTGTTTCTTTTCTGATAATAATAAAAATCAAATTCAAAATAATAAAAATATTAGTATTAATAATTTTGAAAAAAAAAATATAATAATAATAATAATACTAATATTATCAGACTCCACAGCAGGAGGCCAGTCCCTGTGCTCCTCAGAGTCCACAGCAGGAGGCCAGTCCCTGTGCTCCTCAGATTCCACAGCAGGAGACCAGTCCCTTTAGTTTAGATCTGATAAAAAGTCACACACTGGGACTTTGATACAAACTGAAACTTGTGCAAATTACCAACTTCTTTGCTGATTTTCCAAATATGTCGGTAAAATTAAAGGACTGACGGTCTGATGATGGGTCTGATGATGGGTCTGATGATGGGTCTGATGATGGTCTGATGATGGGTCTGATGATAGGTCTGATGATGGGTCTGATGATAGGTCTGATGACGGTCTGATGACGGTCTGATGATGGGTCTGATGATGGGTCTGATGATGGGTCTGATGATGGGTCTGATGATGGGTCTGATGATGGGTCTGATGATAGGTCTGATGATTGGTCTGATGACGGTCTGATGCTGGGTCTGATGCTGGGACTGATGATGGGACTGATGATGGGTCTGATGATGGTCTGATGATGGGTCTGATGATGGGTCTGATGATGGGTCTGATGATGGGTCTGATGATGGGACTGATGATGGGACTGATGATGGGTCTGATGATGGGTCTGATGATGGGTCTGATGATGGGTCTGATGATGGTCTGATGATGGGTCTGATGATGGGTCTGATGATGGGTCTGATGATGGGTCTGATGATGGGTCTGATGATGGTCTGATGATGGGTCTGATGATGGGTCTGATGATGGGTCTGATGATGGGTCTGATGATGGGTCTGATGATGGGTCTGATGATGGGTCTGATGATGGGTCTGATGATAGGTCTGATGATAGGTCTGATGATTGGTCTGATGATTGGTCTGATGACGGTCTGATGCTGGGACTGATGATGGGACTGATGATGGGTCTGATGATGGGTCTGATGATGGGTCTGATGATGGTCTGATGATGGTCTGATGATGGGTCTGATGATGGGTCTGATGATGGGTCTGATGATGGGTCTGATGATGGGTCTGATGATGGGTCTGATGATGGGTCTGATGATAGGTCTGATGACGGTCTGATGATGGGTCTGATGATAGGTCTGATGATGGGTCTGATGATGGGTCTGATGATGGGTCTGATGATAGGTCTGATGACGGTCTGATGACGGTCTGATGATGGGTCTGATGATGGGTCTGATGATGGGTCTGATGATTGTCTGATGATTGTCTGATGATTGTCTGATGATAGGTCTGATGACGGTCTGATGATCCAGGACCTCTCTATGAAGCGTCCCGTCGGTGCTGGACCCCCCGTGGTCCCTGTGTTTGGTAATGACCTGATAAGGCGTGAGGTAATTTTAGGCTGTCAGCTCTCGTCAGCCTTATCGCCGCGTGGCCATTTTATTTACAGCATAAACACAGCGCCACGGTAACGCGCCATGTTTAATTCAGCAGCACTTTTGTGTGTAATTAACGTCTCGCTTCAGATCCAGAAAGTAACAAGAGAGACACTGGTGTGAGTGACACGGCTCAGGACAGGGCCTGGATCTACTGCGGAGAAACAACAGCTAATGCTAATGCTAGTGCTAGTGCTAATGCTAATGCTGCTATGTCATCTTTATGTCTGTTTTTGTTTTGTTTATTATGACCAGTGCAGTAGAGTAAGACAGGGGTTCTAATAGTGGGAGCTTAATCCAGATCCTATCAGACCTCAGAGGCTAAGCAGGGCAGGGCTTGATTAATACTGTGATGTGAGACCTCTGGGAACACCAGGGGCTACAGTGGGGCAGCTTGATTATAACTCTTTTTTGGACACTCAAAGTCTCTTTACATGTCATAATTCTTTCTCTACAAACTTTGAGACTCTACCGCTTTGAGACTCCGATGTGCAGTGAAAAGGCGGTATATAAATAAAGATTACTTACTACTACTTACTACAAACTCAGTGGTGATAAACTCCTAATGTTGCCACAGCTGCCCTGAGGCACACTGACAGGAGCAAGGCATCCAGTCTGTGCCATCGGCCCCTCCCACCACCACCAACCATTCACACACACACCAGACTCATTCTAACTCATTGACTTCCAGCTGTTTTGGATGATTTTTGAAACATGAAACCAGATTCTGAAAGACGGGATTGTCTACTTTCATCAGCAAAAATAAGTTTGTTTCCCGCTAGTGTTGTTCTTCTGTAATCCGTAGTCGAAATGAGGGAAGTTTGACAGATATCACCGATCTCAGACAAATACATCAATGGCAGTTAATGTGGGTGAAGTGTCTTGCCTAAGGACACAGAAAAGGTTTGACAATTTACAGCCGCAGTCGCCCCACTGGTGTTCCCGCAGGTCTCCCATCACTGTACAATAAGGTACACAGCTGCAAAGAGATACAGTAGTGTGGTATTTCAGAGTGGTCCAGGACCGGTCCAGGGATGATCCAGGACCCGGAGACTGACACTAATTCAAAGCTTCGTGGAAAAAACGACTCTAAACTCCTTTGTGCATAAGTCACATCAAACCCAAGACCGAGGACTGAAGCTAAGGTTTTGTTTTTCTCAGTTTTCCGTCTGAATGTCGGTGGATGAAGCGGCTCTGATCCGGTGGAAGTACTCTGCGTTTGTGCCGGACACTTGTGAAGTCGTCCCAGAAAATAACCGGCCATCTGCTTCCTGCGCCGAGCCTTTCAGCCAAAAAACAGGGACCAAAACACACAGGCCCAAACTAACAGCAGGGAGGAGCCGAGGGGGAGGAGGGGGAGAGAGGCTTTTCCACCAGTTAGAACTCACACAGGACTTAAATGTACTTTTGTCGGACACCGTGGACCACTGTTGGATATTACAAAATACTTTGAACATTTGGAATCTTAATCGTGTCCTGTCTATCAGTGTTTATGACGGTGCAAGACGATTTAAGCACATCATACACATGCCCAAAGTAGTTCTCTCATTGATTAAGCTTTAGGCCCCGATTATATGAAGAGGCTGTGCAGACATTGAAAAAGCCAAAAGCAATTTACAGAAACAACCAGGCTCCTGCGCGTTTAGATGACGCCTGAAAACAATGTAGTTCAAGCTGGCGGCCAGTAGGGGGCAGTGGAACTATACGACACAAAACAGCGACCTCCGGCAGTAGAAGCACTTCCTCAACAACATCCTCCTCAGGCCAAATATGGGAAAGAACCAACATCATTCTGCATTTAACACTAGACTCTAGAGCTTTGCGTTGTTTTGTTTGGGCAAAAGAGTATATTTCTCCTCTGTGCAGTTGTTTACCCGCCGCCATTGTTGTTCATGTTTCTTCTCGGCCATGCGCATGTCCAAATGTACCTGGGGGAGTGGGGGTCAGGGCAGCAGAGAATTCACACTCTGCAGCTGGATCTGAACACTTACGCTTTACCCCCCCGGAGCTGCACTTTCTCTTCATGAGATTTGTCTTTGAATTCCGCGACAAATCGATTCATCTGCGAAACTTTATCACTGACTGCTCCAGAACTACAGATACCATGAAACTGGACTTACTCAAAAGCAGATCTGGAAACATGTTGTTCCCAAAAGAAAAGACGCTAACGAGGAGCATAGATCTCTGAGTCTGTGTGTACGGAGATGCTAACTCACCATTTCTTTTGTAAATTAAATAATACGGGTTTGATTCTAGGGCGACAGTAGCTCAGTTGGTAGAGCATTGGCCTTAAGCCCAGAAGGTCGTGGGTTCAATTCCCACCTCTGCACCTTCTCCACCGACTCCCACTGATGACTGCTGTCGTTGTGTCCTTGGGCAAGACACTTAACCCCACTTTGCCCAAAAGCTCCCACTGAAAGATCAAGGCTATGCTCCCACTCAGAGAGCAGCCGTCCTCCTGTGGACTCACCACCTGCAGAGGGTCAGTGAGGGGCTGGTGCTATGAGACTTGGGTGGCATCTCTGACTGCCACCCCCCTGACCCAGAAATGGATTAAAGGGAAGAAAATGGATGGATGGATGGATGGGTTTGATTCTGGATCGAGGACACAGGGATCATTGTTGGATCAAGTTTATTCTCAGGTCTGCAATGATTATGTCCGGCTGAAGCTGAAGTTAGTTGTTGTGTGTTTACAAAGTTACTGTGCGGGGCAGAGGACAATGTGGTTTACAGGAATTAATAAAGTAAACCTTAAACTTATAACACTGTCATGGTGTGGACTTTTTGTTATTTAGAAATCAGTTCTCAGTTGGTTTGTGTCACTTCCTGTTTTGTCCACCCGAGTGAAAAACAAGGAGATCCAAATAGCAAAATAATGGATTTAATAAAAAAGTAATAAAAATCAAGATTTAGCAAAAACACAGGGACCGAGGACGGAACTAAAACAGATGTAGGAATGACAATGACGGAACAAGGAGTGAAGGAACACACGGGGCTAAATACAAGACTAACGAGACACAGGGATTTAACGAACTACAAAATAAACCTGAGCCATGACAGTCTGCCTCGCCCTGATGTGCTTTACCTGAGTTTTGTCTGAGTTTTTGATTCGTTTTACCCTGGACTATCATTTTATATCATCACTGAGTCTTTCTTTTTGGCATGCCTGCATTTAGGGTCCTTCATTCCTCACACACTTCCTCCAGTTCATCAGGGGGAATCCTGAGGCGTTCCCAGTCCAGCTGAGAGACCAGTGTGGGCGGGTCCCGGCTCAAAAGTGGCCAAAATGACGTGCGCTGACATGCTGCAATACCACCCCGGGCCTGTGGGGGTGGACCCAGAAGTAGAATTAGCCAATGCTAACATATAGCGTGGCTGACCTCTCAAAAACGTCCTTACAGGATGGACCAAAAGTTGGCTCTTGGCCCAAAGCTCCGTTCCACATGTGTGTCAATGCTGAGGGGGGTGGATTTTTTTTGGTCCACTCTAGTTTACTTGTTGTGAATTTTGAAGTCTCTCGTTCAAATGAATGGAGCCTTCAAATGGCTGACGCATGCGCGCAACTTTCTTTTGGGGGCGGGACCACTCGCGGCCATTTTGGATAGCTCCAGTCGAGCACTATTTTTGGCCCATTAGTTAGAACGGCGGAGATAGGCGTGACTCTGTCCGTTAATATATACAGTCTATGTAAGAGACACAGTCCCCTCCATAGTCCCACCAACATGGAGTGTCAGCCTAAAACACTGGGTCAACCGTATAAATTCTTCTCTGACGTAAAGGGAAAACTGAAAAGCAGGACATTTAGCTCGCCTCCTCCATCAGGGACAAAGCAGACCAACCAAGTGCAGTGTGATGTCTGTCTAGCATCAGCTTTATCTCCTGCGCCGCTAATGCAGTCCGACCGCTCTGGCCCCGGGCTATATTTACAATGGTCCCGGTGTGGAATGGATTAAGATAAATCAGGCAACACACGCTTTTTACGGCGTCACTGCGGCACGACAATAGAGAGCGGACGTGTAGGAATGTGTATAATGTGTATTTGTTCAGGTTTTAGAGATTCGTTTTAAGATTGGTTCTCCGGGGAAGTCATAACTCACTGCATAATGCTATCGCTAACGGCTAATCCATAAACAGTGAAAAATATATTAGCTTTAGTCTGTGTTGTGTCATAAACTAACTCCAAGTGATGTCTTTAACGTAAAACAGTTCAAACATTGATTGTTGAAAAATGTCTTGGTCAGAGAGTGGGAGGTCAGGAAGAAGTTGATCCTGGGTCTAAGTCTTGGGTCTACAGCCTCAGTCCTAGCTCCAGGACTGAGGCTGTAGATCCAGGACTGAGGCTGTAGATCCAGGACTGAGGCTGTAGATCCAGGACTGAGGCTGTAGATCCAGGACTGAGGCTGTGTAGATCCAGGACTGAGGCTGTAGACCCAGGACTGAGGCTGTAGACCCAGGACTGAGGCTGTAGACCCAGGACTGAGGCTGTAGACCCAGGACTGAGGCTGTAGATCCAGGACTGAGGCTGTAGACCCAGGACCGAGGCTGTAGACCCAGGACTGAGGCTGTAGATCCAGGACCGATGCTGTAGATCCAGGACCGATGCTGTAGACCCAGGACTGAGGCTGTAGATCCAGGACTGAGGCTGTAGACCCAGGACTGAGGCTGTAGACCCAGGACCGAGGCTGTAGACCCAGGACTGAGGCTGTAGATCCAGGACCGATGCTGTAGATCCAGGACCGATGCTGTAGACCCAGGACTGAGGCTGTAGATCCAGGACTGAGGCTGTAGACCCAGGACTGAGGCTGTAGACCCAGGACTGAGGCTGTAGACCCAGGACTGAGGCTGTAGATCCAGGACTGAGGCTGTAGACCCAGAATCCGTCGAAACGCGGCTTTAAAAGTAACTTTTATCAAATCTGTTCACATCACGCCTGAAAAACATCTGAGCCCCAAAAGTAATTCAAGTAATTGTAATTTTACGAATCATAAACGCAGACGAATCCATTGTTCTGGCCGTAAACAGTTTCCCCTCAACACCTCAGACCTGGGCCCACGCCGCTGGATCCCAACAATTAATTCCTTCAACAATCGCTGCTAATCGCCGTGAAACAATAAAATCTTCAGGCTCAATTATATCTATGTGAAAAGGACAGAAAAGACAAAATTGCTCTCTGGGTCTGTATTGATTTTTATGATGTAATTTTTGACACCTGCTGCTTTGGAATTGAATAAATGCAGTTAAAATGTAAGCACCGGGTCCCACTGTGCCGCTCTGAGCCTGTGGAGAGTCCGTCGTGCAGCCGTTAAAGGGGACGTATGAGGTGCAGCCGTTAAAGGGGACGTATGAGGCACAGTCTACAGGTTACATGTTTGTCTTGTAGTCCCAGGTGACCTGGTGAGTGTGGAGAGGGACCGCTCCCCAGGACAGCCTGTAGCACGTGCAGTCTTGGACCGTCGTTTAAGTATTTTAGCCCGCTTTGTTTTTATGGACTTTTAGTATCCTGGACAAGCACAATTTTATCATTTTATAATGATATTTTGTAATAAATCTTTTAATTTGCTTCCCTTGGTAAACAGTGTGTGCTCTCACCTATTTACAATAGTCCCACTCTGGTTCACTCTGGTTCACTCTGGTTCACTCTGGTTCACTCTGGTTCACTCTGGTTCACTCTGGTTCACTCTGGTTCACTCTGGTTCACTCACTACTTCTCATAATATCAATAGCCCCATCATCACACATGGATGTTGGTGAATCAATAGTCTGGTCTTATCCATCCGTACTCTCTGTTCAATCATCATGTCCTGCCTGTAACGTCTGGGTCTCCCTGGGTTAGCGATTACAATCGGTTGAATTTCGACCGACCAATCAGAGAGCACGGGAGGCGGGTGTTGTAGTTAGTTGTGGGTGACGTCAAGAGTTTGCGTTGAACAGGAAGGTTGTAGTTTGGCAATGCAGAAGAATTAGATAGAACCAGACCAGATTACTTTACTATCAAGAAACTGAAGCCGGAGGAAGAGGAATGTTTAGAAATGTAATCACTAGAAAAAATTGTGGCGCTACTCCCCACGGGCTCCGTTAGCGGCAAAGGAGACGGCTAAAGCTAGGCTAAATGCTAACGACAGACCGGGCGCACTACATACGTCACGGTAAACTCAAATCCAATGGTTTCAATCTGCAAAAGGAGTTAGCCCCTCCCACCTGTTCACGGAGTCAATGGAGCACCACCAGACCTTAGTATGAAATGTAATCTGTACTATGGTGTGGTACGACCAGGCTAGCGAATCAACAACTTTCTGAGAGAAAACTTATGTTGTAATTTGGGGCCATATACAACCAATACATTTGAGGTATTGAAGCTTTTTTAATAGATTGTGCCTAACCCTAAGAGCCTGTTTGACTTTAGCTAAAGCCTATTGCTAAGAGTGACATTAGCACATTAGCTAAATCATGGGCTAGCAACAACCTGGCAACCAAAGAGCCAATCAGCAGCAGCCGTGGGGAGTTTCCTTGTCAATGTAAGTATAGCTAGCAGGTTAGCACCGGCCATCTGTATAATAATCCCAGTTTTAGCCCATTGTTGTGCCACGGAGTAAACCGTTCACACAAACAAAGCTAATGTGTCTTTGCCAAAGTGCATTCGGTAAAAACAAACACGGGTCTGTAAAACGAGCCACGGTTTTTACATTGATTTTCACTCAAAAATCATTCACAATTTAGAGAGAGACGTTTTCCGCTCGTAAAGACTACCAATCACTTCCACAATCACTGTTAGTTGTCGGAGCAGAATAAAGGCCTTTTGTCATCTGTCCCTGTCACTGCCAAAACGCTCTGCTGTTGTCACATAAAATTACAGAGTCATAATCCATCCTGCGAGGGTTGCCGGCGGTAACCTTCACTTCACTTCAACCGCACAATATCGGCAACAGTTGAGATTGTGTTGTCGTGAGGAGGGTCGGTGTGTATCTATAATGTGTTTCTAAACGAGGTTCAATCTGGCAGCCGGGGTATGTAACTTTCAAATAAAA